ATTTCCCTGCTCTTTGTACGTTTTATTTTATTTTAATTTTTTTAAAAATAATATTTTTATTGATTTCGGAGAGAGGGAGATGAGAGAGAATTATTGATCGCCTGCCTCCTGCACGCCCCCGACCGGAATAGAATCTAGGACCCTTTAGTCCGCAAGCCGACACTGTATCCACTGAGTCAAACCGACGAGGGCTGTACATTTTAAATGGTGATTTTCACTGCTCTGCCTTGAATGAGATATTGCACCAGGTGTCTTTTTTTTTTTTAAATCACGACCCATTAAACTTTACCTAAGACTCTTTTTAAATATATTGTTATTTATTTCAGGGAGGAAGGGAGAGGAAGATAGGGGTAGAAACACCAACAATGAGAGACAATCACTGATCAGCTGCCTCCTGCATACCCCACACTGGGGAGCCAGCCTGCAACCCTGGCCTGTGCCCTGACCGGGAATCAAACTGTGACCCAAGCCCTGAGCCACACCGGCCTGGCTGCACCAGGTGTCTTGAATGAAATTTACCTTTTTCATCTATATGGCACTGTGTTCTTTTTCTTCTCAACACTTAAGAAGATTAATTGACTATTGTTACTTACCTTTAACCTAGAGCTACCTCCAGGTACCAGGGACACTGATACTTGTCATAACAGAAACCAAGCAAAAGGCGGCAACTGCTGAACAGCCAAACTGGCTTAGACCGGACCCCAAGCATCACTAACGTTCTTTAAATTGGAACCAGTGGCCCCACGTGTTTTAGTAAAGCAGTCATGCCAGAGGAAGCCAGGTGGTTACAATTACCCTCGTACTTGAATCGTCCAAACCTACAATTGAAAAAATAGTCCCTTTACCGACCACGTGTGTATTCAACATTTTTGCAATTGACTCCGTACCTTTGTGTTTCGGCTTTGCATGTGACGGTGCTTCTTCGAGTCGAGGAGCAGGAGGTTTGGAAATGGAACGACTTTGTTCCTTTCTCGGTACTTTTTTTTTTTTTTATCTCGCAGCCAGAAGGCAACCATCAATCAAGGCCTTTGGGGTGAAAACGCTGCCCTCTGTCTACTGAGTGGCTGAGCGCTCCCTGCTCTAAAAATTGGCAAAACAACAGGAAATAGGCAAAACCCAGGCAGGGGAGGGAAGGCCTGGGAAACGGGAGGAAGGCGGACGGGCGTGGGGAAGGTTCGGCGAAATGAACGGCCCTGAGGTTGGGGACGCTCGTGTCCTGTGAGGAGACGTTCACAGCAGGGTCCTGTGGGCTCAGTGTTGCCATGGAAACATGTTCGCTGTTGCCTTGAACCGTTCCCTGAAGGGAGGGTGTGCAGCAGTTAATACTGTCTTTGTGTTTCCTCCCCAACAGCCCCCAAAGGTACTGCGGAGAGCACTTCTCATAGACAGGTGAGTGTGTCTCGACTTTAACCTTCATAACCTGCTGGTTCACTTATTGGCAATAAACATTAAGGGTTCTGCAGATTTGGAAAGTAAAGCACCTTCCAAGAAAAAACCCCCAAAACGCACAATCCAGACAAGTCGCATGCCTGTCCCCCCTGATCAGATTCTGTCAGAAATCAGCAAGCCAGCCCTCGCTGTGTGTCTCAGTGGATAGAGCGTCGGCCTGCGGACTGTAGGGTCCCGGGTTTGATTCCAGTCAAGGGCACATGCCCGGGTTGCAGGCTCGATCCCCATTGTGGGATGTGCAGGAGGCAGTTGATCCAGGATTCTCTCTCATCATTGATGTTTCTCTCTCTCTCTCTCCCTCTTCGTTCCTCTGAAATCAATAAAAATATATTAAAACAGAACAACAACAAAAAGAAATCAGCAGGTTAAGTCAATGGGAAGATTTTGCCTTAATTTTCCTTTTTACTATTTGAAATTTCAATTACTTCATTATTATTATTTGTAAGTCGAGTCCTCTTGTTTTGTGGACATAAATGCTTGTTTTGAAACAATTCTCTGAGGTTTGGTCTGTATTTCTGACATGTTAGGAAGGAGATGAGGGACAGGGCACACCCTGGGGGACCAGGGGCACCTCCCTTTCCACCGAGGGGCCCTGCGGGGTGTCAGCTTTCTGCTGCGTGTTGTGAACACTGTGTCTGTGAGTCTGTCTCCGCGCTCAGTTGGAGGCCATTGCGGTGTCCCTGCCACAACCACCCCGGGCCCAGGACACCGTCCAGACAAACAGGAGTGGCCCGTGTCCCCCGAAGCCGGGCCGAGCCTCCGTTCCCAGGACCACGCACCGGAACGTCCTGTCTCCCCGTTTGGTGCGGCCGCATTCCCTCGGTGAGCCTGCATCGGTTGTGGGTTCTGAGCGGAGGCCTCCAGCGCACACCTCGGGTGTAACTTAAAACCGGTTCATCAGACAGATGTGTGATAAGGTTTTCGTTGTTTAGCAAATGTTTACGGCTTTAGCTTTTTAAAATCCCACCGCAAATCACTTGCACGTGGGAGGAGGGCCGGCTGGAAGCCATTACGCTGGCGCACGCCCAGCTGTGCGGGGGTTCTGTCGTCAGAGAGGGGGGGTGGGCCCACGCAAGCCCCCCTCGACCTGAGGAGCCCCATTCGGAAAAGGAGCCTCGCCCCCAGGCTTTTCCCGGGGAAAGAAACTGGAGCAGGTAACTCTCCAGCTTGCATGCTGCCCGAGAGGCTGCAGGGCTCCGTGCCCTCGTCCAGGGCTGTTCGCCTGAAAGCTCGAGGCGGCTTGGCTGGCGTCGGCCCAGAGATACAAGCCCATCGATATTCCCCCGAAGAACACAGTAGCTCCCAGCGCCTCCGTCCGTCCTCGTCTGAATAACGGAGACGAGAGGATGGCACGGGGAGAGAGGAGACGAGCGAGCTAGTACTGGATCAGAAAGTGAGCGGTCTCTCTTGGTCCCGTCTCCATTTTCCATGGGGATTCAGAGGTGGGCGGCACCCTCAGGCGGTGGGTGGGGTGATGCTGGAGCCACTGCCTGCAGCACCTGGCCCAGCCCAGGGACTGGGAAGCACCTAGAGAAAGGGACATTCCCTCCCCATCCCACTCACATCTCCATCCCGCGTTGCCCACCTGAAACCTCCTCAATACCCAAGACCATTCTGAAGGATGAGGCAGGGCCATGGAGCGCCTGTGGGGTAGGAGTTGGTCCACGTGGAAGAATGGCCAGGAACACTGTTCCCAGCTCTTCCTTTCTCTCTGGATTGCTTTCAACTGGCAGTCAGGATGCAGAGCTTGAGTAGCTTAAACTTTAACATATATTTTTATTGATTTTTAGAGAGAGAGGAAGGGAGAGGGAGAGAGAGAGAGAAACGTTGATGAGAGAGAATCATGGATCGGCTGCCTCCTGCATGCCCCACACTGGGGATGGAGCCATAACCCGGGCCTGTGTCCTGATGGGTAATCGAACCCTGATCTCCTGGTTCACAGGTTGATGCTCAACCACTGAGCCACGCTGGCCGGGCAGAACTTGAGTAATTTAAACAAATTTTGCTCAATGTATTTCTTCTGAGAGGTAGTGACTAAAAAGAATGAAAAGAAAAGTTAAGAAACCAAGGATGCCTTTATCGAATTGGAAGCACAATTAGATTATTGAAATGATTTGTATATTGATCCAAGGGAACTTCTGCAGGGTGTTTGATATGTGGAGCCCACTTACAACATTAGGAGCAAAGGCTCATTTTCTCACCCAGCATGTTCCCCCAACATTTCTGATCCTTGAGGGGAGGACAGTGGTAGAAGGTAAGTTGTCTTTTATGTATTAACTAGAGGCCCAGTGCATGAAATTCATGCACCAGAGGGCGGGGGGGTCCCTTAGCCTGGCTCGCATCCTCTCACAGTCCAGGATTCCTCAGGGGATGCCTGCCTGCCAGCTTAGGCTCAATCCCCGAGGCCTAAGCCGACAGTCAGACATCCCTCTTGTAGTCCGGGACCACTCGCTCCTTACCCCCCGCCTGCTCGCTGCTCCTTAGCACTTCCGTGGAGGCGGGAGAGGCTCCCACCACCGCTGCTGTGCTGGCCAGCTGTGAGCCCAGCTTCTGGCTGAGTGGCGCTCCCCTGTGGGAGCGTACTGCCACCAGGGGACAGCTCCTGTGTTCAGCATCTGCCCCCTGGTGGTCAGTGCACATCATAGCGACCGGTCATTCTGCTGTTTGGTCAATTTGCATATTAGGGTTTTATTATATAGGGTCATTGCAGCCAAAATCACCCTGTTTAAAAGAGCGCTTTCCCCTGGTTGTCAGCAGACAGGATTATTTCCTTCCCGGAAGGCAGGCCTTCATCGGACGGGGA